AGTATACCAGGTAGTGTGGGTAACTAATTTCCTTTAGCATGTACCCCTAATAATATCAAGGCTGGATTTGCAAAAGCAGAAATTAACCCACTAAATGTTAAAATTTTTGGTAAACGCGATTTTATGCCAGCCTTTACCACAGATAGACCACCTCCGAAAGAAGACTGTGCTGTGTAAAGTATATTGCTAAATATAAGTAATGTAACTAATAATGACTTCACAATATCTGAGAATGACATGTTAAATGCTGGTAGCTCAAAAGATATAGAACCACGTCAAGATATTTCATATTGAAGCAGTAATGATGTACACAGTGCATCTACAGTGAGTCAACTGTAGTTCTATCGCCTGAAGGTGTAATACCATTCAAAAAAGCTGAACCAAGAAAAAGAGTTAGGGCTAATAAAAGAAGTAGAACCACATCACTTTTAACAGATTCACCAAATATGAATGTTTTAAAAATAGAGAAAGAATCAGCTAAAAAGAAAAAGTTAGCAATTGAAGAGAGAAAGCAAGCAAAAAAGTTAAATGAAGATAATATTAAGATAAGTAAAAGATCAAATAGTAAAGTTTACACATAATGGAGTAAAGTTTGTAAGGAAGTTTACACATAATGGAGTAAAACATATTGGTATCATCTGCAAAAATTATGCAATCTAATTTGGATGAGACTTTAGGAAAGTCGTTAATGTAGGTTAGGAATAGAAGAGAAGCTTAAATAGATCCTTGAGGGACACTACATTTTATTTGTAACTGCTTTGAATTGTTAATGTGATCCATAATAACACATTGTTGTCTATTATGTAGATAGTTTGAGAACCATTTTATGGTTTCATTTTTAATGTCATACTTTTCCATTTTTTCAGTAGTATTGTATGGTCTACTGTGTCAAATGGCTTTGTCAGATTAATAAAAACTCCTAATACAATTTTCTGACTTTTGAAAAATGTGCTAATGTTGTTAACAAGGTTTAAGATGGCATGATCGGTTGAATGTTGTGTTTGAAAGCCGTATTGATTGACACTTAAAATTTTGTATTCTGTTAGATATTTATAAACTCTATTTTAAATTATTCTTTCAAGGAGTTTAGAAAATACAGGAAAAATAAAATTGGTCTATAAATACTTAAAAGATGTATCTCCAGCTTTAAATAAAGGTAAAATTTTTGCTATTTTCAATTTGTCAGGAACAATCCCTTTTTTAATTGACGAGTTAAAGATGTTTGAAATAGACTTTTTTATAACAGAAAAAACGTAAAGTATAACATTACTAGAAATGTTGTCAATACCTGAAACCTTGTTCTTTTTAATTGATTTAAATGCTTTTTCTTATTCTTCTACTTTTAGATCACTATCAGGTAATGAACTATGAAAGTCACTAAAATATCTTTGAAATGATTTCTCCGAGGTTTGTACTTTTAACGCAAGGTTTGGACCAGTGTTTACAAATAAACCGTTGAATGATTCTGATATATGTTTTTTATCTTTATAATTAATTTCGTTTTCCGTTATTCTGGAGGGTAAAATGTCTGAGTTTATTTTATTTTTACCAATACCCTCTTTTATAATTTCCCTAGTTTTCTTTAGGTTCCCAATACTTTTTTAAAATAGCTTAGAATAATATATTTTTTTTAGATTGTTTCTTTATTTTTTCAAATAGGTTTCTATACTCTTTATAAAAAAGAATAATTTGCTTCGTTTCTATTTTTTAAATATTTAATGTACAATTTTTTTTTTTTTTTTTTTTTTGAAGATTTTCGTATTCTTTTGTAATCCACGGGCGTTTAAGATTTATTTTTGTTTCAATTTTATATATTGAGAATTGATTGTTATAATGCTTAAGGAAGATGTCAAGGAAAAAGCCATATGCAGAATTTGTGTGTCTATGATTACATTCATTGTATCCATTTATCCAATTTATTGTTGATAGAGAATCTTTAAATTTGAGCATAGAGTGTTTATTGATTTTTTGTTTACAAATTTTAGTTTTAATTTTCTAAATATGGTTGAGTTTTCTGCAAGAGAAAAAAACAAAAAGAAAAATGATTAAAAATATCAGTTTTAATTATTCCTGATTTTAAGGAATCATCTATTACGGAGTTAGTTGGAATATTATCAATAGCAGCAGAGGAAATTGATGTGTCACGTGTTGATTTGTTTATGAGTGGATATATATCGTATAAAAAAAAGTTGTCAAAAAATAATTTAGTAATATGGTGTTCAATGTATTTTAAACTATCTATGTTAAGTTCACCAATGTAAAATTCTTTTTTGTGTTGATTTTGATAGAGCTTTGATGCAAGAAATTAGAAAATTGAGTAATATCGCCATCAGGTGGTCTATAACAAGTAGAAACTATAAAGTTTTTTGTGTTTTCTATAATTGTCTCAATTGTTTGGACCTTGCTGTCTGAATTAGAGACTGAGAGATCTTTTCTGATTTTAATATCATGATCATTACGAATGTAAACAATAATTCTATACCTATAATTCTATATCCAGACAGTAGAGTATTCTATATCCAGACAGTAGAGGCTATAACTCTATATCCATAGAAGCTATATATAGTTCTATATCCAGATAGTAGAGGCCGCGATATCTTTTATGATTTTAACATCATTATCGTTTTTTTAAATGTGATGCTGAAATATTTACAATATTATGAGAAGCGTCACTTTATTTTCATCCTTCAGACAGTAAACCACAGCGTCAATATTATTTAAAACATTTACAATTCAATTAGATTATTTATTTACACTATCAACAACACCTTCTTCTTCAAAAATTATTAATTTTTAACAAACAAAGATCTATACCTTTTCCTTGCAAGATTAGTTCGACGTTTTACTCAACAACTTTTTTGCATTTTTTTTTTAAATTCAATAACATTATTCTGAGTGTGTTTTGTCTCCAAATCTCGCTTACTTTTGCTTAGCTGAACAAAAAGTTTATTAGAATGAAGCAACCTAACCCAAGTTAGGCATTTTACATGAGCTTTTTTTTTTTATTTTTGTTTGAATACGACAAAAAAATATAATTCACCATTAAAAAACCTAAAAATTCTGCACTTTGAGTTTTATGAAAAATTGAATAAATTTTATCAATTGAATGAACTTTATAAAAAACAAATTACATAAATGAAATCTATAGTACTTTTTATGTCTAAAAAAGGTCAAATTGAATTATTGTTTCCTTTAATGATTTTAGGGAGAGTTTCCCCCTTATATAAAATGATATAATAGTATTATATATATATACATACATATATATATATATATATATATATATATATATATATATATATATATATATATATATATATATATATATATTTATATATATATATATATATATATATATATATATATATGTATATATATATATAATACTATTATATCATTTTATATATTGACGCTGTGGTTTATATATATATATATATTAAGTTATACTTTAAATTATAAATACTCTGCTGTTTTATGGAAATCAATTATTAATTATTAATACACTGCTGTTTTATGGAAATCAACAATTTATACTGTATATGTCACATTTTATAATAAAATGTCTACATATATGTATAAAATATATAAAAAAATTTTTTATACGGTAATAACAAAATTAATACATATATATATATATGTATATATATATATATATATATATATATATACATATTTTTTTGCATATATATATATATATATATATATATATATATATATATATATATATATATATATATATATATACATATATATATATATATATATATATATATATATATATATATATATATATATATATATATATATGTATATATATATATATATATGTATATATATATATATATATATATATATATATATAAATATATATATATATATATATATATATATATATATATATATATATATATATATGTATATATATAAATATATATATATATATATATATATATATATATATATATATATATATATATATATATATATATATATATATAAATTTTCACTTAAAAGGCAATCAAAGTCTAGCAAGGTATAAATAGTTTTGCGCGATTTATTTATACAAAAACGTTGACCTAGTAATAAAAATAAAGTTGCTCATTTTGATCGTTATTTTGCGCAGCATATTGAGAAGATTGACAGTAAAGTTTAAAGCAACTATCTCGCGTGCTTTTTCAACTATAATTGGATATATCTTTAAGTATGTATCTGTACTGCCCAACTTACAATTGTTCAGCCGAGAGAATATTTTCAGCATTAAAGAAGGTTAAAATTTATTTTAGGTCGATAATTTCTTGTGATCGTCTTGATAAGTTAGCAATTCTATGTATTGATTTTGCAATTACCATTGTTTTCAACTTTAATAACTTTATAAATTCTTTAAATGATATTATATATGATAATTAAATTAAAAACAAGTATCAAATACTTTTATCAGACTTAACAATTTTTTTTTTATTAGTGTTGTTTTCATTTTCATCAAAACTTTAAATTTAAAGTTTTAATGGAAATTCAGTTAAATTTTCCTTCATATAAATACAGTTTCGTATATCAATACGATTAATCGCTTGTGATGTCGCATCTAAATTGGCATCTTTAAAACCAATCTTAAGACAGTATTGGTAGAAGAAAATGTAAGGATTTAATATTTTTGCAGAAAGATTATTTTTTCTCTTTCTGATTTTTATTGGTCTTATCACAGACAATTGCAAAGAATTAACCAGGAATTCGTTTGTCTTTCTTTACCAATGTCATTTTTTAGACTAGAGTTGGCATCGAATCACAATCCTTATTGTTCAGAACTTTAACCACTGCGTAACGGCTGCTATAAATTGAATACATTTAACACAAACATTTATTATCAATTAACATTGTTTTACACATGAAAATATATGTTTACAATTGATGTGATCTTAACATTATTTATTCTTTTATAGTTTGTGTAATATTTTTATCTAAAATTTGATTGATATAATATTGGTATATGTTATATTATACAGGGAATGAGAAAAGATTATAATACTCACGTCAGCTCTTCATCACAAATTCATCTCTCAATGGCATTATCAAAAGTATATGAACTTCAAAACAATGAGGAAGTATTGGAAGGAAGAATCCTTCATCTCAAATATAATATGGTAAGAAAATATTTTGGAGAAAACACTATTTCAAAATAGAATTTAAAAAATGCCAAAAACCAATTTATTACTCAATTGATCAGGCGCTAAAATCGGTGAATGTGTCCTGAACGTTGAAAATTAAAACATTAACAAGACAAAAAGAATTAAATAAGATTAAAAAAGAATAGAAATCAAAGTTAGAAAAGTAAAAAAATGTTCATTCTATATTGATAAAAAAAAAAAAAGTTGTGGAGATTTAAAAATAAAAAGGACTAATTATATTTTTGAAAACTAAATTAATGATTTTAAATTCTAAATTAAAAAAAAGTTTTTAGCTATCCAATATTGGTTCAAATAATTAGATTAACTGTCTAATAAAAAGTAAAAAAAGTTACAAAAAAATAATAAAAGTAAATTTTCTCGAAAATTTTTTACATGAAAATAACGTTTTAAAAAAATATAGTTGAATATAAAACTTTTATTTTTTTGATTAATTTAAAAAAACCATAGTCAAATTAACTACTTACAGTCATAGTTAGATTAATTAATTGCAAATAGTCTGGCCATTTAGACTGTTTTTGCAAGATTTTATTGTTTTCAAACATTCAAAAGTAATGTTTTGAACTTATGTTAAAAACTGTTTATTTATCCTACCCAGAATACTATTAGGTGCATAAGTGCACAAAAACTGAAAAATGACAAAATCAGCAGACGATCAATCGATTGATTATTAGCGTACAGTGTGATTCTAATGTTTTATAAAATTTGAGCTAAGGAAAAAGCATATTCTTACGTAATAAAAAATTTTAAGGTAGGTTTGCTGTCAACTACCTTTTAATTAGAAAATTTCTTGATACCCAAATTTTCACATATAAACATTAAAAGTAAAATTTAAATAAATTAGTATAAAATAAACATAATCCGCTTTTATGTATTTAAACTCTCAAAAAGAACCCCGTGCGGAATCGATATTAAAACAGGAAACAAATCAAAAAGGAAAAATATGACAAAGAAGCATACCAGAAAAGAATAAAAAAACTACAGGATGAGCAGTTGTTTTCAAGGTAAACAACATTATATTATAAATATATATATATATATATATATATATATATATATATATATATATATATATATATATATATATATATATATATATATATATATATATATATATATATATATATATATATATATATATATATATATATATATATATATATATATATATATATATATATATATATATATATATATATATATATATATATATATATATATATATATATATACATATATATATATATATATATATATATATATATATATATATATATATATATATATATATATATATATATATATATATATATATATTATATATATATATATATATATATATATATATATATATATATATATATATATATATATATATATATTTATATATATATACATATCATGGGGAAAGCCCTCTATTACCTGAAGTTTCAGCTTTTTCTTTCCAACATCCAACAGGTTATTGAAATCAATGACAATCTTGTCAAAGAGATCACGAGCATGGCAGACTTTATTGCCATCTTTTACTCTTCCTGGTTCCTTACTTGTGAGTTTTCAGATTCTGCTTCATTCGAGGTAAAATAAAAAATATATATTAAAAAATAATTAATGATGTGATTTCATTATGCAGTATGCAACATTTGTTGTACAATTATAGTAATAAAAATAACAAAAGGGTTTTTTATGTTTGCATTGCGCAAGCTTTATTGGAGTGAAAATAATACTCGTATTAATTTTATTTAGGATCAGTTTAGCCTTTTGGCAAATGTGCTACTATGCTCAGACTAAACCTGTTGCTTAGTCGGTATTAAAATTGTGGAGAAACCACACTTTGTATCTAGACCCCTACTTGGTAGTATTGCTCATGGCTTTCAAGGACAGTAATAACTTTAGGCAGATGGAGGAGATGGTCAAGGTTCTATTTTTCACAGATATAAAGTCACTCGGAATAGATAGAGTAAGGGCTGAGATGCCTCCAATGCATGTTTACATGAAGGAGAAGCAGAGACCTCCTTCTTTAAAAAATTTCATTAAGATGGAGAGTTGGACTTGTTCAACATTCTAAGCCTTGCCATGGAGCAAGGTATTAGGATTGAACTACCCCATCAGTTTTGATATAAATCTCCCGGAAGCAACAAGTTTCAGGAGTTTGTGAACAATATTAATGTTGTTAATGATTGCTCTGGGCGGGCTGTCAAGCTTATTCAACGAATGTGGAGAAGGCCAAGAGTAAAGAAAAACTGCAGAGTCTCCTCCGGGTTAAGAATGCTTGGAAGGAACCAGTTTGCATAACCAAAGCGTCATACAAAAAATCCGCTAAATCTGTGCTTCCAACTCTAAAATCCTCTAATAATAAAGATATTGAAGTTTCTGTTCTTTAGAACTGTTCTGCTCTGTGCATGTCACTAATTTTTCTAAATTATTTTTTTGAAAATAAAGATATTATTCCATTATATACTTTATTTTATTAACCTGCTCTGAAGGTGAAAAAAAATTAAAAAAATCATTCACAAATAATGTTCCATGCTATAACTTAGCGGACGTATTAGTAATACTTGGGGATATTTCTCATAATGTTAGTATTAATATGTCATAATGCTAGTATTAATATGTCATAACATTTATAAACATTTTAAATTAACAACAAACAATATTGAATAATATTTACTATTTCCGCCAATAACCCGTTATGGGTAAAAACAGGCTAATTTTTAGGAAAATTTTTTTTTAGGTGACTAGCGGGAATAGTAAATATTTCCGAACAAATAAAAAAAAACTATTTATAAAAGTGACCCAAGAGACACTGATTAGCAACTGTGTGTAACAAATTTTTATTATGAAAAAAAAAATTCAAGGCTAACCAACCCCTTGTAAAAAATAGCAACAGTTAAAATTAATTATTTTATATCAAATAAACCTATTAATATATTTCTAGCTATGAAAATAACCGTTTTCAATGATCTTATTGTTTAGTAAATGCCTTTGGTTCAAGATAATTAATTGACTATTGGTTCCTACTATTGGTTTAAAGCGACATTGGTTTCTTAAGGTATTGTCATTATAGCCAATAGCATGTAAAGATGGGTTTTCTTTTCTTCTTTCTACGGCTCGCTGATAGCAAAAATAGTTTTTTAATAACTCTTGACAGACCCATTCAATTAAAACATATTAGACAACAAAATTCAAAAGGTAATTAACTAAATCAACAACTAAATGGGAAGTGATATTGATACCTTCATAGTTTGCCAAGATAAAAACATATTTCCTTAATTAGCGTTAGTGAAATTACACGGTTATTGATCTATACACTCATCAATTTTTAATCTTCAAAATATTTAAAAAAAATTTAATCAACCAAATTAATCTTTCATCACCCATCAAATAAAATGGCTGAGAAAATGAGTTTTGCTTTATAGCTCAATCTACAATATTTTTTACATTGATGCAATCAAAAGAACTGTTGTACATTTGACAATACTAAGCAGTTGTAGAGGCTTCAGTTAGGCCTAATGTCTTTAAAGCAATGCTAACAGATGAACTGAGTATTTAAGCTGCTAGTCTTACATTCATTTCGGAAAATGGTCTTAACCTAATATTTTCAAAAGAAAAATCCGGCTGTGTGTTTATATCTAAGTTTAGATCTTCAAAAAATAAATCTGACGTTTGATTACACAAAACGAGTTTATCAGTATTACATATATATCTCCCATTTACCTGAAGTAGGATGAAAAAGACAATTTTGACCAGTTTTTATCAACTCTGGAGGATTACCTATGAAATATTTATATTTAACATTTTTTTTTTCTTGTATTTCCGTCATATGAAATGCATAGAAAAAAAATTTACGGTTCACAAGCTACGATTACGATTCACTATCACTTTTAGTATCAACAACTTTTAAATTGCATAAAACCCTAAAGTACTTACAATTTTCCAAATTAAGGGGAATAACTAAATAGCTTAAAAATTTGTTATAATCATAGCAGTTGAGTAGGAATATTTATAACATAAAATTGATCCTTACACCAAAGTTTTAACAAAACGGATTTTCGGTATTAATTATAAAGATTAGGCATTTATTAAACTACTTGTTGACAATATGTTTCAGATATGTATTTTTCTAATTCGACCTCCATTTTAGCTAAAGACAATATTGATATATATATATATATATATATATATATATATATATATATATATATATATACTTATATATATATATATATATATATATATATATATATATATATATATATATATATATATATATATATATATACATACATATATATATATATATATATATATATATATATATATATATATATATATATATATATATATATATATATATATATATATATATATATATATATATATATATATATATATATATATATATATATATATATATATATATATATATATGTAAATATATATATGTATATATATATATATATATATGACAAGCTTGTTTTAAAAAAGCTCCCTAAAAGCAAGAATGATGAAAACTGTTACTTTAACTGATATATTTTTATATACTTTTTATTATATTAAGATACACGGACAATTAACAATTCTAAAACTAAAATTGATTTAAAAAAAAACAAATCAACTTTCTGTTCAAAATCTGAAATACTCACTATCGGCGGTAGATTGAGGTAAAATATACTAAATTTAAATAATTCGAACTCTGCATACTATATTTTTATAGATATTTTCCTAAAACACTACAATAAACATTGTCCAACTGAACAACAAGATATAATGTTTAAATATTTGAAATGGCCTTAAATCACTAATGTAATAAAGAACTTTAAAATTTTGTTTAAAAATTCAAACGAAAAAAACTGATCTAGATACAAAGAATACAAACATTTACAAAAACAAATTAAAAAAAAAACAATTCTAAAACAAAATCTTTCGCCAAACAGAATTATTGTTAATGAAACAGAATG